GGATCTGAGCTCTATTAAAGATATTTCATGGATACTGAGCCAATTTCATTTAGCTGTAAACTGTGAGTTGGATTCCAAATCAATCCTGCCTCTCAGATTGCCCCGGAGAGACTTTTTAAAGAGTTTCATATTGGCAGTAAGCAGGCACCAAAGTGAAAACAGTGTATTAAAGGAACCTCATATCTGTGGCGTGTGGCACTGATAGGGAGGTGATGTATATTAGTAGTTGGAGGTTTAGAAAATGAACTCCAACTAAAGGGGCTGTGGATCAAAGAGAGGGACAGCGCCAGTGCTCATCGCACCCTCCCCAATCCCACAAAGCCTCCCTTTACATTAGCATTATTAAGAAGGAGAGGAATCTCTTAATAAAGTCTATTAATCACGCCGGGGGAGTCGGTTCATAGGTTCACCCTCTTGTGAGGGTCTCTAATCAATCAAACTAGCTGGTAATGTATTCATGGGTGATGTAAGAAAGAACTCGTTCCACAGTGATCCAAGGAGGAAGAATTTATTAAGTTCCCTTCACCAGTCAGCCAATACTTGGGAGACACGAGCGCACCCCCAGCGTCCCCTGCGCCCGGTGCTGGGAATAAAAGGGCCTTCGTAATGTATGAAGTCTGTACAAATATTGGAAACGTCCAAAATATGTCCTCTCATTAACAGTGATGAGCAAACGCGGCCGTATCGGCATTCGTCAGATACGCTCCGAGTGTAAAGGCGCCGTCGTACAAGGCCTCTGCTGTGTCGGGTGATGTAGAGACATCACTCTCTTGCGATCCTCTCAAAAGCCGGAGAAAATGTGTCTTATTAGTTCACACGAGGTGGCGAAATTCCGTGCTACACCGCTGACTAATGTACAAAGCTGAGATGGCGCAGGGCTGAGGGTTTGCTGGGCCCCTGTTAGTGACGTGTGAGCGGAGAGGGCGCGGAGAGGCGACACCAGGCTGGTAAAAGCGTGCAGCTGTTGGAAGCCGCGATGAGGCCCGACATTTTTTTTTTTTTTTTTTTTTTAAAACCAGTGCTCATCTCCTGGCCAAATGCTTTAAAGGCAGATTGACGTTGAAAAGACGTGAGGGGACGCAGCTTTTCACCCCCCCCCCAAAAAAATGTTTCTTTACACTTATTTTAAAAGCATATTCGCGAATGTCAAGATTGACTGCAATATTGTGTGAGTACATACTAGAGCTGGAGCATGTTTTATAGAGGAGGTTGCATGGAAAGCCCTTATTGCCTTTGCTTTGTCCCGAGGAAGCGCTGAAAGACGCCTCTGCTTCGCTTCAAAGCTGCATTTCCATAATTGCCCTGTAACTCTGGCCTGTCTGAAGGATCTGAAGAGGGCTGAGAAAGGCACAATCTTTCAGCTGGGTGAACGGCAAAAGCCCCCAATGCCTCTCCCTCTAGCCCGTCTGTCCCCTTCCACTTGTTGCCTTTCGGATTCAGTGAAAGAATTCCTCTCTCTCTCTCTCTCTAACCTCCGTCAACAAAAGGCATGAAATCAGTGCCCTCCCTCTCTGCCGCTTCGGCCCCAGAGAATGTCACTCCTCCCGGGCCTTTTGTCCTTTGCTCAGCCCGGGGAAACACAACGACTCCTCGCAGCCTGGCTCCCCCTTCGACGTGTCGCCGCCGCACGTTCACTTACACCCTCAATAATGAATGCGCCATAAAACATGCACGAGACACCGAAGCCGCACATCGTCGACGGGAGGGTGGTGGTGGGGGGGGGTAAAATTAAGCTTTCCGCCTCCTCTTCTTTCAGCTGTAGGACTGCGACCGCTGTAACAAGTTGCCGTGGAGCGCCGTGTGTATGGAGCTATGTGGTGTGTGGGACATGTGTTCCAGGGAGCAGATCATCGCTCCTCCTGTGGTCGGCTAACACACAGGCCGGAAAAAAAAAAAAAAAAAGGGCAGCGGGGCCCGGTTCAAGCGCTGGGTGGTGGTGGGGAGAGGGGGTCCGGTGGGGGGGGCGCGGGTCGACAGTGGCTCATGAAAGGATTAGTCCACTGCACAAAGACAGTGGGCCGCTTCTAAGCCCGACTAGGTCCACAAAGGAGGTGACATTTGTCTGTCTCGGAAGGCAGGAGGGGGTGTGGCAGAACGGGGTGGGAGTGGGGGAGGGGGGCGGAGGGAAGTGGCACTGGTGGTGGGTTCCAGATTTTTTCCCTTTCAATGGCTGTTTAACAGCGGATCCCCCCTGCAGGCGCCCCCCTCATGTATAGCTGTGTGTATCTTGTGTCAGACTATTGAGGGCAAAAGAGAGCAGCAGTCAACAGCATTCATAATGTGATTAAATGATTTGTAATTTATTTCAACGATGTAAAACGCTCTCCCACACTCTTCATACTGCACAAATGTATTTGTCGATGACTAATTATAAGACGGCGAGTATAGTTGAGGACGAATGCCTTAATGTGGGTTATCTGAAAATCCAAGATATCCCATTTTTATTACTTTGTACATTGAGCCTCTAGCTCCTATTATAACTTCTTTCATTTCTCACTATCTGGAGTGGGATAGATTACCCCGTGCTTTTAGGCAGCACAGTTGCACGTGTGACTCTGAGCATTAAACGCAGCATGGACCTCAGAAAATAAGAAGAGGAGTCAATGTTGATCATTACTCATTAGCCAGGAGAACATCCACTTAGCGTGTGAGGAAACGAGTGACACACCATGCCCCGCTGGAAATGGTTGGCAGAGCAAAATGTTACCTAATGCACTCCATTTGCTCTTTGTAACCGGGAGCAGGTTGGACATGTATGGCGACACAAGCAGCCGTGATTACTTTGTTTCTGCCGAGGCATTTTAATCCCTAATTTCATGCGCTGATCAGAGAAGAGGCCCTGAGCTCTACGCACACCATCACCGGCCCCTCAGTAGCATTTCAATTGAATCCCTCATGATCAAGAGGTGGCTTGTTCTGGGCCCCCCAGGAGCAAATGCCCCGTGAACAGTGGAGGAATAAGCAGCGTTATTTATAAGGTTTAGTGTGCTCACACGCAGCTGCCCTTACAGCCCCCCCCCCTGTATTTATGAAATAGTTTGTTGAATCTTGGTGAATCTCATCAAAACGATGTTTTTTGAACAATTTTAGAATGTATTTTGAATACGAATGTTGATTGTTACCATCCTTGTAACATTCCACGTGATAAGCCAATTTCCCTTTCTGTTGTGTAATAATAAATAGTCATTCAAAGCCACTTGCTTTGAGGAAGGGAAGCGGCAGAATGTACAAAAACGGAAGAGAATACTGTTGGAATCAATCAGCTGGCCGGTGCCCCTTATTAATCTGCATCGCGCGGTCACATCGGGCTCTCCAGGACCCTGATCGATTAGCCAGGAAGGCACCGTGGGGAGCGGAGAGGTTCCCTCGGCCGAGTTGTGGTTCGTCTGGAGCGGATCCGAGAGTCGGAGAGGCCGCGGCTCGCGCGCACGTTGGAGGAGTCCGTGCGAGCTGAGGAATGTGTGACAGACTGTTGACTCGGACTTTTTGAGTTAAAAACAAAAAACAAAAAAATTAAACGAAAACATACTGTTTGAAATGTGAAAGGAGTATAAGAAATATACATCTGAAATGAAGAAATAATGACTTATCGAAAGGGATGCTTTTCGTTTTCAGTTGGAGGAATTAGCGAAGTTTGTGTCCCAAAATACATTTCTGGATGTTGATGAAGTTTTTTTTATAGCTTTTATTCATTCGTTAGTTATGTTGGATAAAACACAACCATTTGCATACGACTTTAATGTCTCATCTGAGGCTGGAAAGATTTTTTCATAATATTGGCACAAATAACGAATAATGAAATATTGACGGAATTTTTCTTTTTCTTTCCCGATGTCTTTGATGTTCTTAAACCTTTTTTTAATCTAATTTTACAATGAAGTGAAAGTCGCGTTGAGGGATGATTGAGAAGTCCTGTACTTCTTAAGTCAGGCATGACAGCCATAAAATAAAGTTTAATACTACAACTAGTGACGGGTGTAAAAAGACTGAATTTGATCTATTTACAGATTTTTCTTTATTGTACTTTTCGGGAAATATTTGCATAATATTTATAAATAGTTGTTGCCCATTGTTGTTATGACTCAAAATGATTACACGCGCGTGTTTGCTTTTTGAAGCATCAAAACAAGTGATTCACTGAGACACGTGCGTTTGTACATCATCAAGTCCCAACACGGAGGCTCGAAAACGGGTTTTAAAAGATACGATAATGTTACAGATTAATAAGAGCAAAATATACTATCGAATTTTATACCTCACATGATGGATACATTAGAAATGAGCCGAAATAAATTGAAACTGCATCAACTCGATCTGAGTGAGTGTGTGTGTGTGTGTGAACCAGCCGACTGCGTGTGACTGTAGAGGGAGCTCCAACACTAAGTTTACATAAACTTCCCCTGATAAGGGCTCGCGAATGCAAACGAGCACATCTAGGGAGAACGAAATAAAACGATGTTATTATCATTTCTACAGCGGCCGCACATTACAATTAAACCAAAGAGCAGCGTCAGTTGAGGGAAATATTTCAAGGATTTATGTAAAGCGCAAAATCGGGGCAAATTGGCGCACGATGAGTGAGAGTTACGGTTCGAAGCCAAAAATCTATCCGGATCAGCTGAACCGCTTTGACCAAATAGCAGCAATCATATAACAGTCATTCATTACTTAAAGTCTCTTATAAAGCATACAATTTTCGGGGGGGAAAATGAATGAAAATAATAATGATATTGCTTTTATAAGGATAATGCCACAACATAAATATCCAAATATATGCCGCAACACTGGTTAATTAGCCCTTAAGTCCCCTCACTACAAAAGTGTGATAAATCCCTCTCGAATATTTACTTCTCACTGCCACGGCGGATGAAATGTGCGCCCCGGGCTGCTCACTAACACGCACACAAAAACCAAAGCAATGCAATTCAAGCTGCAGTGCACAATAACAGCCACCATCAAAAGCAGCTGTCAAAATACCTCGGCCAAAAAACAGCAATTTCTTTAAAGTTGCAGCAGTTCATTTATTAGCCAAAATATAGACTTTCTTGTACAATTTGGTTCACAAGTATGTACATATTCTTAACTTTATATACAAAACATTTGAACATCAAATCCTCACAGAACTTACAAAAGGAAAAAGAAAGAACTCACAGACTACAGGTTCATACATTATTACATTAGCAGTTTTACACAGGACATGCTTACAATGTAAGTATACAGAGATGTATTATTCTTATTTTACATTCCATATTCAAATAATAAAAAAAAAAAGAATAAAGAGGATTGGTGTGAGGTTATGGAGAGAGCCAAGGGAACCGCTGCTGCTTAGTTGGTTCTGAGGCCTGCAATACACAGGGGGAACAGAAAAAAATGGTAGTGTTCTAAAAAGAAATCCAACTAATAATAGCATCGGGAAAAGCTAAAAAAAAAAATCAAAATGATATAAAAGTGACAATTGCCTTTCAAAAACGAGCCTGTAGTGATTTTGCATTGAGCTCATTTGCATGACCAAACAAGTAAGTGTAACATAGGCCTGGACGAAAAAAACACATGCGCACAAACACAGGGATGAAAATAAAATAAAAACACCTTAGAATAAAAGCTAATTTGGGTAAATATTCCTTTTAAAAAAGAAAAATGTGATATGGCATCAAAAAGAAAATTCCCAAATGTCATCAATTGACAGCCTTGCTATCTTTGAACTGGGTGCAAAGCTGTTTTTAACAACTTCTTACTCTGCATCCAAGGCACTAGAGCTCTCTGGAATTGTGGCAATGAAAATTAAAACGCAATCATTGAACGGCCTACTCTCAGAGCCCATAACGGGTTTCAGTGAATTTAGTGTTGGAAACTAGTTGGCTTAATGCGCTGAGGGATTTATGTAAACCATTGAACAAAAGCACATGGGCCTCAATATCTCAGGGACGAAGCAATGCCAAATAAAGGAGCAAACGGACACGAATACCCGGAACACTTTTCAACCAATTCAACATTTTACCTTTTTTTTTTTTTCTTAAATGCTTTCTGATGAGGTTTTCATAATTCTCTCGGACATTTTTTTTTTCAAAGCAGTTACACACACGCACACGCATACATCACACACACTGCATTCTGTAAGCTATTATATTGTAACACTGTCCATCTGTGTGGCCTAAAGAAAAGCGAGTAGAAAGAAGAAAAAAATCCATGAACAGGCAAAGGAAGGTCTAAAATAATAATAATAGAAATGAATGACGGGGCAATGGACTAGTGTCTTTTGTTTGTTGTACTCATGTATACATGCGCGCGTCTCAGTGTCGGGGACATGTACCTGTGACTGAAGTCTCTGAACTATGACTCTTGTCCTCCGTGTGCCTGCTGCTGTACAGGGCCAAGCCGGTGGCCGTGGCCTGGTTCGCCAGTCCCAGGTAATGGTTCGAGTTCAGTAAAGCCAGCTGATGCGCCGAGAACGCTCGGTTCGTCCAGTTCTGGATTTTCCCAACGGGACACGAAGAGATGAGTCTGTGTGGGGCGATGATGGTCTGGCCCGCGGGCCCCGCCGAGTTGCCGCCGTTCATTTGCGGCGATTTGCGCGGATTGTCCGGGGCCGTGGCCGTCTCCGCCAAAGACCAGATCTTTGGCTTTTGGGCCGGGGCCGGGTTGTTTTCTGAGGGCGGCGAGCCAACGGACACCGGGTTCAATTTGAGCTGTTCGCCGTTCGCTTGGGACGCTTTGGTGTCCAAAGAAGCGTGTTGGTGGTGATGGTGGTGGTGGTTGCTGCTGTGGTGGTGGTGGCTGTGGAAGTGCTCTCCTCCCCTCTCCACGTCTTTCCCCTCTTTCCCCACAGACTTTAGAAACCTCTGATCGGGCCCTTGTAAATCCTCATAGCCGTCAGAAATCTCGGAGTCGCTCCTCCCGTCCAGTTTAATGTCTGAATGCAGGTCGTCCTGGTCGTCCAAGTCGTCCTTGTTCTCGATATTTTCCGTGTCAATGTTCTCCAAGTCGATCTCCTCCTCGTCCTCCCTCTTGTCCCCCTCCTCCCCCTCGTGATCGCTGCCGTAAACATTCCCCTCTTCGTCGGTGCGGTTCCGCGGGGCCCAGGTCATCTTGTTCTCCTTCTTTAGCCTCCGCCTGGCGTTGGCGAACCAGGTGGACACCTGGGTGAGGGTCATCTTGGTGATGATGGCCAGCATGATCTTCTCGCCCTTGGTCGGGTAGGGGTTCTTGCGGTGCTCGCTCAGCCAGGCCTTCAGGGTGCTGGTGCTCTCCCTGGTGGCGTTTTTGGGTCTGGACGGGTCGCCGAACTGATATTGGCCATATGGATAGAACGCAGGGTGATGGTGGGCGAAGCCCGGGTGCTGGACACCGGGGCTGTCTTTGAGTTCATACTGAGCACCCTGCAAAGACAAAGCATTACAGTCAGAGGGATTCATTAGACTTAATTAATTATTCCCCATCATACATTTGACCAAGCCACACATTACGGGAAGGGATTTTAGAGTAATGCAACAAAATAAGGTCATTATTGAGGTGTAAACAAACAACACCCCAAAACATTTTTTATTTTTATTTAACTTGAACACGTTTTTTTTTCTACCAAAAGCGTGGCAACTAAATACAACTATTTTAAATTTGAAATATTCTGTATATTTACAACGAAAAACTTTACTTTACTTTAATGCACGTCTTCCCCTGCGTGGCCTGTGCAAACCGTCACAGCGCGTCGCAGCCTTTTATAAACATAACTTTCAGGGAATGATGTAACAATAAGTCCTATGCACACTTTGTTAATATGTTACTTTTTAACCACTTTTGACTTACAAATAGATCCCCCCCCCCTACCTCTCTCAGCTTTAACCACGTCGCTCAAAAAGTTGACGCTCAAACGTCTCTTGCGGAACTGTTCATTTATTTTCATTTGAATTGCGAAGCAATATAAAAAAAACAACAACAACAACAACAAAAAAGTTCTATCGAAGACTTCGAAAGGGGGCCAAAAGTGACTCACCAGCTGATTGAAAATTGATATATCGTTCGAGTAGGGCAGAAACGCTCCGTAGCCCTGCGCTGCTGCGGCGAAAGGAGATCCGTACATAGTGGAGAGGACGTTGGAGAGCGCGCCGGACGGACTGAGCTCCGTCCCGGCCCGGGCGTTGCTGGCGATCCCCTGGCGCTCCGGCGGGTATATCGGTCGGATGTACTGATATCCCAGCTGTGGGAACGACATGGCGGCGGGGAAGGGGAGGGGGGGGAGAAGAAAGTCTGCTGCGATCACACAAAGCAAAGGATTTGCCTCGATATCCACTTTTACAGTGTGAGCATGTGGGCAACAAAAGGTGCGAGCAAGGGAAGTCTATATTTCCTCGGTAGCAGCCAGTGTAAACGATCCGGTTGCGCCCCTTATTTCTTGCTTTTCTTCTTCTTCTTCTTCTTCTTTCCACCCGCACTTCCCTATTGATCTGGATGGACTAAGGTCAGGTCCTTACAGATTGCTTTAGATTATTGGGACTGCCTTGCTCAGATTGACATTTCTAGTCGTTTAGAAGCCCCTCCCATTTTCTCAAATCTCACCCCTCTCATATCCACCGCTCGCCGACCAGCCTCTCTCTCTTTCTCTCTCTTTCTCCCTCCCTCTCTCTCTCTCTCTCCCTCGCTCTCTCTCTCCCTCTCTCTCTCTCCCTCTCTCTCTCTCTGTCTCTCTCTCTCTCCTCTCTCTCACTCCCTCCCTCCCTCGCTCTCTCTTCTCGGATAAGTGCGCTGACGTCGCGAGCTCTTATTTGAATGGGGTTTCAAATCTCATTTTATGGCTCGCCAATCTATTTCATTTGTTATTTGTTCGAGTCCGTCCCACCGCATTGTTTGTGTTAATTCTCAATTTTGCCCGTTTGCACAACAGTAAGCCGTGAGATGTCTACGACTGATTAACTTCTTCTTTTGTTTCGTCTCTAGTTTTCTTTTTAACACAAAAGCGCACTTTTATTCTTGGACACTCGAGTACATCGGTTAAAAAAAAGTAAAATTAGTTCCCTCTCTTGTAACAATTGGAAAATGTTCACGCACATTTTTTTAAACTGACATTCCTCTATATTAATAAAAAAAACCATGTCAGTTGGCAGTTTCAAAAACTATTAAATCACAAGAAAAAAATCAGAAAATAATGAATATGTTTTTAACTACTGGCGGTGCTCACGCTTTGTCCTGGCCGTGGATCACAGGCTATACACACCTTTTTAATCCATCACTATGTCACCGTGACTGTGTTTTCCTACACCGGTTCGGAGGCGTTATGGGCGAATCGGAGTCAATTCAGGACATCAAACAGGTCGCATGCAGCTACTTGACATCAAAGAGGGAGCTGTTGATGGGCGCATTACACTGTTAATGAAGAGTAAAGTGCAAAGCAGCAACAATGACGAGTAATAAACAAGGTAGTGGATTGGCCTGAAGATGTGTATTCCGGGGGAAACAATACTCTGACTTCAGAAAGAATGAGCAAAACATATTTATAAATAAAAAAATATATTTTGAAAATTATAATTGTTATTATTAACGAACCCAATAACCATAATAATGACACGTGATCGTAATAGTAATAATAAAAGCAATGGTGTAACCGAGTAAATAAACAGATTGCTCGGTACAAAGCTTAAAACAAGACGTTTGAGATACTTTTCTCTAAATCCGCTCTAAAACCAAACGATCATCCGGACAGACTGCACTTGAAGAAAATCCATTCGATAATTTTGATGCAACCTGATGTTTCTTGTAAATAATTCGGATTAAAACAAAACAAGGGAGTCAAAATTGAAATTCCGCGAATCAATACACAAAAGTGTGTACGGGACAACCGTAATCGCATTTGAACCGATTTTATACCAGCATCTGTTTTGTTAATCGTTCGCAAAACAACTGCAGAGGTTGAATCATTATTCCACCCACTTTATATGAATATAAGTCTTAACGTATTATTGACGGCGGGATGAAATCTCATCAATCTCATGTGTAGTTTTGATAATGCGATCCCGGTTTCCAAGAATTCTAAACTTGTATAAACCTTTAATCTTCTTTGGGAGCAGATAGTTATCATTGTCTGGCGCGGGGGGGGGGGGGGGGGTGGATAATAGCAGCTATAATTTCATACATAGAACAACCCCATACGGATACGCCTTGTGTCTGTAAAACTCTGTCCTGAATCTGTGTGTGTTCTTCGCCGACATCCACCCCAACCCGGATTATGGGGTTATTAATTACAGCGGCTTGCTGGTGCCATCCGACCGGAATGGTAATCACTACATAGCAGTCAATAGCACGCGCACACTTAACACACGCGGTCATGCGCGCGCGCGCACACACACACACACACACCCACACGCACGCTAAGAGAGACGTAAGATCGACCTGCAAACGGAGGGGGTCCAGACAGAGAAGTGCAGGGTGGTTAAAGATAAATGCGTAAGTGTGTAGAAGAAGAACTTTAAAACGACAATAAAAAAAAGAGCGAGAGAGAGAGAGGGAGGGAGGGAGAGAGAGGGAGGGAGGGGCGAGGAGCGAGAGAGAAAATAAATAATTCTGAGCGAGGTGTCTGACTGCTGGTGTCCACTAAGCAGCGCTCCGAGTCCGGATGGACACGTGTCTCGTACCCGGGACGACGGTCGGTCGGTCGGTCGCGACCCCCCCCCCCCCTCCTCCTCCACTCCACCCACGCCAAGGACTGCGTCTGATTTATTGCCTCCAATCAAACGCGCCACGCACTAACTTAACACTTTCACGCCGACCCGGGGAAATAGGCGGGCCAAAAAAAGCAATAAAGAGGCAGCTCCCCCTTTTTCTCCCCCCGAGAGTTTTCAGAAACAAGTAAATTACCCCCAGGTGGTCCCCCCCCCCCCCCCCCCCCCCACACACACACACACATACACACAGGCCAAAACTCAGCCCATGCAAACCACCACGTTACATCTTTTTGGACCTATTGCTATCGATATTTTAATATTATTTTTATTTCTCATTATTATCATATGGTTTCTTACAACAACTCGAATGACTTCTCCAGACTCGTGGGAGCCAATCTTATTGGTGGGTCATGTAAAAAGAGGCCGATGCGACTGCGCAGGGCCGTTTTGTAAAGAGCTCTTTGACGGTATTTATGCAGATGACACATTCTCGTAAAGCACAACGCGCAGCGCGGCCTGTCGCTTTACAGGCGTTCCTTATGCAATACACGGGGCCCCGGCGACACGTCGCAAAAGGAAGAACCGGGGGCCCCGCAAAACAGCCGAGATCAAAAGGCTTCAAACAGAGGAGCTTCAAATCTCACATTTAGATCTCTTCCACAACGCTATACCGTGACAGTGGAAAAAAGAAGACTAAAAACACATTTTATCAAAAAGAAAAAGGCAATTAATGACCGTTGTACGCTTTTGGAAGTTTGACGTGTGCGTTTATTTGTGTGTATGTGTGTGTAATTGTGTGTGCATGAGAGAGATTTCTTGCTTGGCGAGGCAGCTCTCGTTTTGTTCAGCAGTTCTTGAAAGGGGACCAGAGCCAGCGGTATTTGCTGAGTTTTTTTACTCACCAGAATTTTGGCATCGTCAGTTTCGGGAGAATTTCCGCTGTACATATTATTTAGGACATATTGCCGGGGTGATTCACAGCTTTTCAATGTGATCATCAAAAGCTGTTGGGCAGGGCAAATGCAATGCATGCAGGAAATGTCTGAGTGTAATTAATACAAGTGACTATTGGTATTGTCATTTCTTATTGCAAAGCAATTATCCTTAGCTGTTGGGAATATACATACTGTTGTTGTTAATCAGAAATGTTCCTCAGCGGTTTTCAAAGTTAAATCTGTGGGTAACCCCAAAAATAACTGCAACACATTCAATCTCCAAATAAGCTCTTTGAAACTCGTGTCCCATTAGGGTGAAATAAAGGTCCAATAAATCTCGCAGTGTTTAAAGAACAGTGAAGCCTAATCCACTAAATGAATTAGTTTCTAAAAATTAATTGTTCTTAGCAGCAGAAGCAAGTGTACTTTGAAATACATTTAAAGTTTAATTTTTTTCCGTGTTAGAATAATTTCAATAGTGTGATTTTAATTACATTACACCAACCAATCATGCATATTAAATAGATAGCCAAAGTAAAGCATTTTGGAACGGTTTCTCCTGCTCAAACCATTTGGAAACAAATTAATAGTCAATGGACTGCAACTTATTAAACTGGGTTAGGACATCGGATCAAAGCGTAAATTAACGCGTTGCCTTGCAAGTGTTTTACATTAACTTGTTGAGTTCAGGTTGTAGGCTACTACTAAATTTACAATGTCAGGCCGTCAGGCTGAGCAAGTGTATTGAGTTGGAGATCCATTTTAGACTCTGGTCCTGAACCAGGTTTTAAGATGGACAGCAACTTAAACGTTCTGTACAATGTGCAATGTGCATATAGACTTTTACACTGTTTATAGGGTGTTTATAACCCAGATTATAGACATACGGAAGTTCTAGAAAAAAGAATATTTGGGGTATTCGGGTTTGTTTACCAATTCATTTGGCCTGGACAGGTCACAATAACAGGGTTAAGAACCTTTCTTGGTATACATGTAAATCATATTGACCCAAGGGATTCTTATACTTCCTTTTAAACTGTCATTGTTTTTGTAATAAAAGGTCATTCCATTAATCCGGATTAAACCATATTAAATGATTTATATTTCTCAGCATCATATGGTCGTGCTGTGTCAAGGGATCAGTGTAAAATAATCCAGACCTGTGCAAAACATGTCAAATGTAATTAATGTATACATCTTCCCGGCGATATTCTTAAAAACACAAACCACAGCATTAAATCCAACTGATATCAGCTGAAAACGTTAGCATCGATATAGTTCATAACATTGATCCCACCCGAGCCAATTGTAATGTGTTAAACTACACAATACTCCTACCATATTTATTTGTTATGCCTTTTAACGATGTTGCATTGAAGGTGAGTATTTTTGTTTCCACTCACGCTCGCTCCATCTGCTGCAGTTTGCCCTGTATCAGTAACACAAGGCATTGATTTTACGGTAAAGTCACTTTGTAAAGGGAATGAGTAACTCCGGGCCCCACTATCACTGTATTACACGGGTATGGCCCACGTAACAAGATGAACATTGATTCAGCATTACGGATGATCGATAATGAAATAAGTAACTTCAGGGCCAAATTAAAATGCAAGCTGGCTTGCTGCTGCCAGGCTCTGTGAGAGGTGACAGCAGCAGAGAGGTAAGAAGAGGGAGGGCGAGGGAAAGGCAGAGAGAGAGAGACTAAAAGTTGAAGGCCACTGAGAGTTCACTGTGCTCTGTGATGATGATGTTGATAATGACAGCGCGGTTTTGCTAACAAAAAAACAAAACATACAGCCCATATTATCTAATATGAGAATGCATGTGCCCTTATAACATTTAACATTATAATGAAGTTGCTTAAATAACAACACACATCCCCAAAATACTAAACCGTCCGTCAGTGAATACGGGTTTCATCTCCAACTGTCCATATCTGTTGAAA